ATGGTCAACATGTTGTACCAAATCATCAGTTGGTTGGGAAATCCGTGCTTCATTAGATTTGGCCAAAGGCATATTTTCTGGTAGATCGCCAGTTGGTTGAGAAATCTGTGATTCATTAGATTCTGTCAGTGGCTTTTCTGTCACTGCACTGGCCAGGAAATCTTCTTCTCCAAAAATGTCCGGGTTGAACGGTTGGATTCCGGATATCTTGAAACACTGGATGCCATTTGCCGGAGAAGTTGCTTTAAGGTAAGCCGGAGTCAATATTTGTGCAATCTGATAAACGGTTATCACTCGACCGGGATGGTTACGCATCCATTTTTCACACTCTGATGCATAAAAAATTTTGAGGCTGTTATGGATGCAGCGATCGAGTGGTTGAGTTTTATGACTGCTCTGAGGTGGGATTGTCAAGGCATGAATGTGGTTTTGCCGGAAGAAATTGACCGCTTCTAACGTGCAGTGTGACGTGTGATTATCTAGGATTAATAATACTGGGTGGTCTTTGCTAGGCTTTGCGTGGTCTTTAAAATGAGATAACCAGTCAACAAACAAAGAACTATTGATGTAACTCGAGTCTGACACCATTCCTATAGAAGAAGGTGGGGCTCCATCCAAAAGCTCAGCTTTCATACGTTTACGTGGAAATATGAAGGCTGGTGGAATAAAATTCCTTGCAACGTTGACCGCATTCACGAGTGTCACATTGATGCCACGTTCAGCACTGGAAATCTTGTTGATGCAACGCTTCCCTTTAGTAGATATCACCTTTGGAGCTTTATTTGGCACTGTGGAGATTCCGGTTTCGTCCATATTATAAATTGCATGAGGAGGGAACTTGTAAGTGTCTAGCAACCTCGCCAGATTTTCAAAATAGCGATCGCATTGAGGCTTATTAAATCCTATAGCACGAGCAACGCTGGTGGAGGTTGGTGCTCTTAACGACAAATTTGGGTGCCGTTTCAAAAAAAGGCGGAGCCACTCTGTACCAGCCATTTTTTTTCTTTGTTAAAACGATGTTCTAATCCATTCTTTTCAGCAAAATCATAAGCAATTTCTCGTATTTTTTGAGTGGTTAATCCATAGAACATGCTATCTACTTTTTTGATATAGTTACAGAGTTCTATTTCCATTTCACGGGAGAAGGTTTGGGAGTATCTGCCCAAACTTGAAGCTGGAGACGATCTCTTAAGTCTCTTTCGCAAAGTGGCTTCATGCATCCCCAAGGATTTAGCCACTGACCTCTTCGATTCGCCTTCCTCGACGCGAGTTTTAGCGTTGAGCCACTGCTCTGGAGTACAAAGTTTTCTTTCACTTTTTCTTTGACGTCTAGACATCTTGTGTACAAAATTAAAAATTACCTACAAATTTCATATATTTTTATTTAATTATTAGGAACAAAATAACTAATAAATACAGTAACTAAAGTAACTTAAAAACAATTGCGTGTAAGAGTACGCACGTACTCTTATACGGTACAAAACTGCGTACTCATACACACTATACCCAAATCGGAAACGAACGAAACTCAACGCCATCTCTTGGCGTGAACCGGAATTACGTGCGCTGCATGAGTTAAACATTACCTTTGAAAACTACACAGTTTACTTCGTTTTCAGAAATTAATTACATTGATGTATTAAAAATACTTTCAAAATGGTAAAAATAATTAGTATTTTGAGCACAAATCTTTAAACTTACGTAATTTCTATGTTTTCATCCGGATTTGATTTTTTTTTCGCACAGCACTTTTTCACACAGTTGAAACCAAAATACGACTGATGTTAGCTGATTATCGTGACGAACTTCACGGCTATGAGTATTGCGTACTCTTATCGGATGCGTGCTCTTAGACCAGGTTACCCTATGACTATTGATTTGTAAAATAAAAGCAATAACTTGTCAGCAACATCACCGTATAAAACCAGAAATTTAAAGATTACACCAGCCCTCTCCCATTTACGAGTACCAAAGTTAATAAATAAATATTAAATAATATCACATTGATTGCTCAGATTCCAAGATGAGTTGCTAAAGTCCCCGTGTTATGGAGTATCTGAGACAACGAAGATTGTCCACAACACCCAGACCAGAGACAGTACAGAAAAGTTCATTTTCTACAATAACCCGCCCAATAATCGAACGAGTAACACCATGAAAACGGCTCGCGAACCATTCGTCTACAGAGATCGCCAAGTTATATTATTAGTTCATGTTTCTACTAAAATTTATTGAATAAAGTTATTATTTTATGTGCAATTTGACTTTAGTAAATAGACTCACAGAAGTTGATCTCGCTAGTCCCGCCCAGTCGACCTTTATATAACACATTATGTGTATGTCATGCTTTGTTAACAATAACTTGCGCAACGCCCTTTTCTATATAAGCCTCACGGTCCAATGAACGTGCTGCATGTTTCGTAGAAGTTTTTTAACACCAGTTATAGTTGGTTCTTAGTGATCTTTTATTTATTTTGTTTTGTAACTAAAACAATTAACAAAATACATATCTTCTTAATGGAAAATGCTTAAAACATCCACTTTGCACCGGCATTTTGAGGGATATAGTAGATATTTTAAGCGTTTTTCATTAAGAATGTTTTTCAGTATAGCAAAATTGATGAATGTTAAAAAGACATATCTCTAAAGTTACGATTACATTTTAATTGTTTTCTATCTACATATATTAAAATGAATTACAAAAATTCCTTATTATATTTATCTATATATATATATAAAGAATTTTATATATATATTAATTAAATACATTATTTATACTTGATTATCTATTTTCTATATTACTACTTATCTAAGATAGGTATAAAGCTATTATTTTTTTACAAACTAGCTTTTACTGAAGTCATCAAATATTAAATACAAATGTCAAAATCACAAATATTAATTCTAATCTAAACTTCCGAATAACTTCCGAATCTAAATAGGTATCTCGAAAAAGTGGAATCGTAGTTATTTGAAACATTATAACTTTTCCCCTATCTATATATTACATAGTATCATAATAATAGCATATGTATGTAAAAATAAAATCTATTTAAGTATAGAGAATTTTGTCAACAATTCAATTAATTTTTCTAGTTTTACTCAAGATATTTTGCATGAATGGCTAAGTTTTGCTTTTTTAATTTCTTATTATAAGCCTCCGAGATTTCATTTCATCGGACATTTGTTAAATCAATCATTTCGTACAGAGTGACCCTTCCATTGGTCAGACGACGCAAGTACGTCCGTTGCAGCCATTACCCAAGTTACCAGCGAGGGGAGCATCTAATTGAGTAGGGTTGCTCCCCTACAATGCAATAACTCACCCGACCCTTTAATATGTAATATCTACACATCGATCAATAATAGACATTACGAAGCAGAACATTATTTTAACTGCTAATTAATGCATATGAAATAAAATAGGTATTTCTATCTCTTATTTCTTGGAATGACCTATGAATTACCAAAATTTAATATTTTATGTTCCTTACTCCCACTGGGCCTATGTTATTGTCTCCGTGATTTGTGTAAGAAATAATTAAAAACCTATATACTTGTAGTGTATACTTCTAAAATTGAAAATTATTATAACATGCGTTTCGTGTCAGAATAGAAACAGTTACCTACTCACTTTCAAAATATACGGAAAACAGATAATTTCTCTTACAGCTGCCAGATCAAACATTCTATAAAAACACGAGATTAGATTCGTCCTTGCGACGTAGAAAGAGGCAGGCGTGTGCTCGAATCATAACAATCCTTTATTTAAAGGTTGGAGACCTTTTGAAATGTGTTGCCACAAGCCGCCGCGTGCCACTATTTTCTTTATTATAATAGGGATTCGAGATGTGACAGATATTGTGTGGAACAAAAAAATATTTGTGGAAGTTTTGAAAAAAGATCGGCGCATGCGTCCATTAAATAAATCATGAACCCTTTAGATCAAGAGAACATGTAACGTCAATAGGCCAACTTTGATTAAGTCATTGCAACCCTTTGACTAACAAAACCTTTATAGCTTTACGTATTAAAATCGTTTAACGTGTTGCTTTTGGTAAATCTATGTAGAAAGATAGAATTGGTAATTCAAAATTGTTTTGTTGAATGAATGTATTTTAATCGTGTAATGGTCTCCTACGTGAAGTTGGCAGTAATGTGGTGACGCAAAGTGTCATTAAAGTTAAGAAAAAGAAGAAGAAGGTTATTGTGTCATTTCTAATTACAGAAAGTTAGTGATTTTGAGTGTGGGCGCGTACACACAAAACCACATCAAAACATACATCAAAACTTTATAAGCAGCAGATAACAACAGTTGTTGAAAAAATGTTAATTGTTACTTTCACTGCATTCACGCACATCTAAAAGTTGCCTTTGAATGAAAGAAAGGAAAGCTAAAAACCAATTAAATAGAATAGTCAAATACGGAATTTTGAAAAATTCGGAATATTTATTTTCAAACTATCTACATATTCACGACCAAAATGTACTTTTCTGTTTACGGTTTATAGGGATTAATTTTATATACAATATAAATATATTTTATTAAGTTTTAAAATTGGCATTTTAAATCATTCTAATACTACCAGCTATTAAGACCTTAAACAAAACCACATTACACATAAAAATAAACTATATACATATGTCCACAACTAACCTATCTTCAACCTTGTTCGTTACACATTACGCTACTAAATTAAAATTCTAAATTTACCAGGAAATACAGGACTAGTACGAAACTAAGTACGCACTAAAATAAATCATATATTTGACCTTGTTTGTTAAAAAACCATTACATTATGGCACTAAACAAACTTCAAAAACCAATAATTTCCGAACTAATATAAAATTACCCTAATATCTACTACAGCAAACAAAATATTAATATTTACAATGCCTACTTATTCTAAATAATTTTGTCAAAAAGATTCTTACATATTAGAAATTGCACATTACATTACTCTAATTATAAACAATACTACTTATATATTAAATCTACATTACACTGATCTACAATAACATCGACCGCAAACACCAGCAGCCAACATCGCTCGGAGTTCGTCCCTTTTCTTCTTCAGAAATGTCACTTTTAGAGCCAAACGAACTTCTCGAAGCCTCCTTTTGTCGCGACTCTGCTTTGCGGCAAAATTATTTTTCTCTCGCTGTCGTCGGTAATTATCATCTGCGGCTTGATTGGTATGGACAATACGACGCATGCGTGGGTTAGTACCTAGCAGAGATCCGCCGTTCTTCTCTGCCATCGCTTGCAAGGCATCTCTTTCGAAAGCCTGGTACTCGATATCGTTATCCAAGGACTCAACGTCGTATTCTTCTGGTGGGTTTGCCGCCGATGGTAGTGATCCAAAAGGCTTGTAACGTTGAAAGTGATTGATGGCTTCAGATTCATATATTAAAGGCGGCGACCAATGCGCGATGTTGTCGACCGAGGCTTGTGAAACGTAAGCCGAAGGCACAAGTGCCTGATCTGCATAGCTGAGATAGTAGATTCCAGTATTCGGTGACGCATGCTGTGGTCTTCCATAGTTGTAATTTGGAGATCCGCTAGGCAAGATTTCATAGGCTGGTAATGTTCGTTCCCTTTTTATTACAGACAGGCTCAAATCGAGTGGTTCGTCTACGTTTGAAGTCGGTAGAGACATTGTGGTGATATATTCGTTGTCTGCAAAAGACGCGAATGCAACTATTTACGTACGTAGTAGTCCGTATCCCAACTCGTGTAAGACGCGAATGATGTCCGTCTGCCTGTGCGCCCTAAAGGAACTTTTTGACCACGCCCCATCTTAATGGAGTGGGGTGTACCGCACGCCATAAAGCAATGCAATTGCAAGGGTGTCATAAAAAGGCCAAGCCTTTGTTTCCATGGTGACCTAACAGGTCTAGCGATGCTTTGCAATCACTGAAAATAATTTTGATGTGACAGATATTTTATATAAGTATATTATGGAAAACAATTTTTAATAAAAGTACGAGTTTGAGCGACTTTTGGTTATCACGTGGTAGTTATTATGTCTGCTAAAAGAGTTGTGACAGCGAGATATTGATAAATGCTTTTGGGTTTCTTTGTGTTTTTTTCGGTATAAGACTTGTTGAAGCAAGAATTCATGTTTCTACAACGGATGATGAAATAGATACATTTGATCCTCATTTAGAACTTTAAAAATCACAATTTTCGGAATTATTACGAAATATCAGAAATTTTAGTGAAACGTAAGACTTGTGGGATACGCAAAAATTGTCTTAAATGGATTAAATGCTATGTGCAAAATAAAGTACTTAGTATGTCGACGATAATTCATATGTTAATTCGGTTTTTTCTGGTGTCTTATCTTGGGACCTTCATTATATCTTATTTATATCAATGATCTTACTAATTTTAAACCATATTTTATGTATTGTATAAATGATTCGATTAGATAAATGAGCTGAATAAGTTGCAGATTAATAATGGGATGAAATCAAAATCTCATATTCAAATTCAAAGCTATTTATTGAATCTAGTTACAAACAATTGTAAATGATAAAAATTATGCCATCGGTTCACAAATCTATGGCGGGAGACCTTGTACTGAGAAGAACCGGCAAGAAACTCAACAAGGGCAACTATTTTCCCTATTTTATTTCATGCATAGAAGTACAATTGAAAAAAGACGTCATTAACTATGAAGCCACTTTCCATTACTATATTAAAATAAGTAAAAATAAACAAATACAACACAATATTTCACTAAGTGAACGTAAGTAAGCTTACTGTTATTTGTAACGGCCGCATACTTTACCTAGCTATGATGCTAGTTTGACTTTTACACTATAATTGCACATATGAAAACTATATTAATAATATACAAGTTTACTTAAATCTAAGTTACTATAAATATTGGACAAAAGTGTTCATGAAAAATCTTAATGTCACTAAGTGAACATCAGCGTATTGATATTAACACAGAATCGGCAGCTTAGCCGCCGATTTAAAACCAGTCTTGTTCATATGGCACACATTAAAATCTTCAAATTACTAAATTTATCTATAAAAATTGCACGATAAATAATCATAATGTTACTAAATATCAACGAGCGCACCGTCATTAGCACTGGCCGCATAATTTAGTTGTTGTGTTGAGTCAAAAATAAGCTTTTTACATTTAAATGCTACACATTAAAATGAAAATATATATATACAAGTTCATTTAAATCTAAGTCAACCATATAATATTGGACCAAAATAGTTATAAAATTATTAATGTCACTGAGTGAACGTATGTAAGCGTACTGTGTACATTATTTAGATGCTAGCTTGGAGTTAGATATGAAACTAGTCTTTTGCGTCGAAATTACACATGTTATCACTAAAGTACTAACATATAGCTCGCCCTAGCTCAACGAGTTAGTAGAAAACTATTATTTAAATATGGTATTCCTATTCTATCCTACTTAAAAATAAGCTTAAATTTAGCGTAACTATAATTCCACAAAATTATTCTAAAAAAAACACAAATCAAATGTCTATCACTCAACAGGCACATTGTAACTTACATTGACTACACACTCTTAAAGCTACCTTAGATTGTAAACTCGCGATTTCACTTTTTAAATACGTGAGTTTCAAGCAAAGATTAATTTCTTTCATTCTCCTCCGATCTCTACTCTGTTTTGCAGCGATATTATTCTTCTCCCTTTGCGTTCTGTAAGCGTCAGTAGATGAGTCCTGTTTTTTGGAATGAAGGGCTCGACGCATCCTTGGGTTGTCCACTAATATCTTCCCGCCGTTTTTCTCCGCCATAGCCTTTAGTGCTGTGCTCTCAAAGGCTTTGTAATTGGGATCCTCATTCAGAGTATCCATGTCTAAAGAGGATCCGGAGGCACATGAGAAAATTCGTAAAGACGATTCTTGTGCGTAATTCGTGGAGTAACTTGGAGTAATGGTTTCGTAGCTCGACGATATAGAAGCACTATCTCCCGAAGAAACAGGTGACACTAATACAGATGCAGGTACAGTGTACCTGGTGTCGTTACACAGATAAGCCGTGGACAGTTTGCTCGCCGGTGTTTCGTTTATGTTTTTCTCTGCGGACTTAGATAAGTCTAAGGCCGCTTCGTCGACGTAAGGTCTCCAGAGTGCCATGATTTCTGCTATTCGTTCGGTCGTGTTGACAGTACGGAGCTGAATGACTATAGTCTCGATCACTTGAGCAAGCGTCCCTTCTGCGTTTAGGGGCGGGGCTAAAGAGTGGGCTTACCCCCACCGCGTCGTAGTAATCCTAAAGGTATTATGCTACCTGCTAACTAACGGGAATCGAAAACGATAGACTTATTGACTTGTTTTTGCGGCTATCTTATTTTATCAAAGAATTGAACAAAACTTTTCAGTTTTGTTTATGGGTGAATATATTTACGCCTACATCACGTATGTCACAATTTATTTTATTAATTCTTTTTTTTTATATTTGCATCTGTTTTCTACATATTATATCAATTATGAGATATTGTATCGATATGCCTTGCGGCTTAAATTGGTTAGGTTTTTAGCTACCTTACTCTAGTAAACTAGATGTAAATATAATCTTTGTTAAATAAATGAAATGCCTATCGTAAAAAAAACAAAGGGGAACTTGAAAATTCACCAGCTCACTGTACCTCAAGATGGAATGTAATGTGCATGCAGAATTCCTGAAATATAATAAACGAAATACCTATTTTATATCTTTCAAAATTTTATAGATGTATAATTAAAATAACCCTTAGTGGATCAATTTCTATTACTATCTATTCAATAAGAAAAACCCTATAAATTATTCAATCATAAATCTGTATTTTTATATGAAACGGTCATAAAGTATCAACAAAGGTATCAATCGTCAACAAAAATTGATGTTATTTTCACGGTACTTAAAATTAATTATACTAATATTATGATTTTATATAAAGTCTAAATAGTTTTCAACGGTGTCAAAACAGTTGACTAATATAAGTGATAAATATTTTATTTTATCATTTATTTTTAAATTAGAAGTCAGTTCTACTTTTTATAAAATTATTTATCTCAAAAGTGACTTATTCAAGAAAATGCTATTGAAGTCGGGTGGAGGTTTTCTATAAGTTATTAATTAAATTATAGGCGCCATTATCGCCTTCAAACATATAACCTCTTCCTTTTCGATTAAGAAGTCGTTTAAAAAGCAGTGGTAATGATTGGCGATCTTTAATTTTTCTTTGGTTTTGCCTAGTGATTTAGTGATACATTTATATTTTAACGGCTCTCTGAAACGTTCAAGTATGCCCATAATTCAATTTGGTTCAAAAACACGTTAAAATTCACTTCCTATTTGTCTATTGTCTGCAACATTCGCAAGGATGCTTTTGAATAGTAAATGATCCGCATGTCCATCGCAACTATTGATGGAGGTCCGCAATGCGTTATTAACGACGAAACTGTCGCAGTGATGAATCTATAGAGGTTTCATTGTGTCACAGGTTTCAATTTGGTCACCGACTTCCGGATGTTCGACAACTCTTTACTGTGACCAATTATGAGGTAATGGTTGTCCACCATACTTCTGTCCTCTGATAAAATAAGCTTTGTCCATTGCCATCCAACTAGTTTGATGTAGACAAGCAGGTCTCATAAATTACACCTTTTTTTCAGGAACTCCTCCTAAAAATAATGTGAGATTTAACATTTCTCTGTAGTCATCTCGAGATTGATGTCCTCGTAGTTGTTTTCCGGAAAAGAAATCCTGTCTGCCACCAAATTTACAAGCATATTTACCTCGGCGTCATCTGCAATTTTTTGTAGTCACTTTAGCCAGTTCTTTTCCAATTGTTTTTAAATCATTGGATAATTGTATTCTTGTTTTCTTTATTTCTTTTTTTAATTCTTCTATACTTTAAAAATCTACCAACTCCAGGTATTGGACATGGAACTCAACCTTTCGCCATTCAGACGACTACTCTAACCACTGAGCTACCAAGGACCTTACAGGATTGATAAATTTTCAAGCACGTGTTTCTTTTCGCTACTACAAACATAATGCGTATTTTCATCAATGTTTAGACAATCCACCCAAACAGCCGAAAGAAAATTAATTAATTTATTAAATTAGATCAATTTTGCATGCAATAATATTTCAATTTTACTAATGACATGTTTTTTGAAACATTAGTGAAACTATAAACTAAGCGGCCATACATTATTTGTTAAAATTTGGCAACTGATAGCGACCTCTAAATAGTTACAAAAAATTAAAAGATAAATATAATATAATAATATAATATATATATGTATATAATCGAATGGCACAATGTGCCGTGGTGATAATTCAAAAGTCGAAAAATAAAGACAACCCTAATAATTTAATTCAACCTCAATGATAGCGGTAACATTTTGCGTGTCTGCGATCTCGATTTTATGTTGACACGTATGGATCATAGATATACCATATACTCGTAGTATGTAAAAACCTACTGCTTAGTTTTTCTCCAAAAATGAAGTCAGTATTTTTTTTCGTTTATTAATAGGACCAGAAATGAGTTTACAATTCATTTTAAATAATCTTATATAGTAACAATCATTACTTAAACTCAAACGATGGCCTCGTTTTCATTTCAAACTTTATTGGAAATGCGAAACCCATAAAGACATTGATAAATCTTAAGGAATTAAATTTAATTAGGTAATTATAATTTCAAAGAATAAAAGTCGATCGCAGTTAATTTATAACGATAAACTTTAAGGATGAAAACATCCATATTACCAATGTCTCATCAGGTCTCATCGGCAATGTGAAGATTTCGATATAACGGTATTTCGTATATGATTTTACCATTATATCCATTACAAAAGAGAATCCATTCAATGCAGACGATTTGTACGGTGTGGGGGTGAGTATTGTTACACGTCGATGAGCATAGATTGATAATGCGAGGCTGATGACACACGACAGATGGCTCAGTTACATATAAGAAATTTAAAATTATTTAAAATATTATCACTTCTTATACATATAGATTTTAAAATATGTTCGTACTCCTTTTCGTACTCCCCAAAAGTTTTCTCTATCAACAAAGCTTTTAAAACAATATCATTGACGTTGGTGGCAAACTACTTTTTGCCATGTTTCACCGTTAGAATAATATAATAAGGTTATTGGTTAAGCCTTTTTTCCCGTTAGAAACAACTTGGGAACGGCCAGCAATATGCAAATTGTAAATACAATTTCTACTCATTGTGTTCAACTTCTAACATTTGTGACGGATTAAAATTTAAAAGTGTACCTTTTTTTTGTCTATAAACAATACGAGCGTCTTAAGTTATTTGCAAATAAACGGTACATTTTACTAACAAAGGATTGTGCGAATTGTTACCGATATGCAATCTATTTCCAAGGACATTCCTAACAATGTTTGTGTGTTTGCTAAAGAACCCGTTGAGCAAAGGATCTTTGTGATTGGAAAAAGGGTTGGTGTTTCCATGAGTCCAGCTTTTTTTTTACTGTTATACAAAAAGTAATAGGAAGCGTTGGTTCCAAAATGACTTTCAAATGGATATTATTCATTTGTATATTGTACAAATAGCTCGGTGGCGTAGTGGATAAGCGCCGCGGCCCGCGATCGTTCTCGCTAAGCAACTTTCGCGCGGGATGGGTGACCAAAAAAATTATTATCTCTAGCCCCGGCTACATTTGCAGTCGTCAATCCGCATTGGGCCAGCGTGGAGGGTCATGGCCCATCCTCCTTAACCATCCATAAGGAAGGCCTGAGCCCCTGGAAGGCATGATATTATACTCTTAAATAATCTTCTTCGTTGATTGACTTGAATGTTTACGTTTTCATACACTAATAATTTTCTTCTTTATAAAACAAGTATGACTATTGAATTGTAAAATAAAAACAATTCCTTGTCAGTAACACAACTTTATACGCGAAATGTAAAGATTACACCATCCGCCTCCCATTTACGGGTACTAGTTAATAAATAGTCCATAGTTAATAAATAAATATAAAACAACATCACATAGATTGCTCATATTCCAAGATGAGTAGATAAAGTCCCCGTATTATGGAGTATCTGAGACAACGAAGGTACCACAACACCCAGACCCGAGACAATACTGAAAAGTTCATTTTCTACATTGACTTAACCGGGAATCGAACCCGGGACCTCAGACATGGTAACACCTTGAAAACGACTCGCGAACCATTCAGCTACGGAGATCGCCAAGTTATATTATTAGTTCATGTTTCTACTAAAATTAATTGTATAAAGTTATTAATTTTTTGTGCAATTTGACTTTAGTAAAAAGACTCACAGAAGTTGATCTCGCTAGTCCCGCCCAGTCGACCTTTATATAGCACATTATGTGTATATCATGCTTTGTTAACATTAAGTTGCGCAACGCCCTTTTCTATATAAACCTCACGGCCCAATGAACGTGCTGCATGTTACGTAGAAGTTTTTTAACAGCAGTTATAGTTGGTTCTTAGTGGTCTTTTATTTACTGTGTTTTGTAACTAAAAGCTTAACATAAAACATGTTAAATGAACAATGCTTAAAACCACTTTGTTCTGACAACGTAGATTTTTAAGCGATTTTCATTAAAAATATTTTTCAGTATAGCATCGTGAATGCGACATTGATCAAATATACCTTTATTAGGTATAATCATATCTTCAAAAAAAAGGCATATCTTTACACGTTTCGAATTTTACACGCGAGTTCTCTTTAGGACGTAGGTGCTCACTAAGACGGGATTTTATTTTAAATTAGGGGATGAAATTTTTATGAGATTTTCTAGCCGCTGGCGTATACATATTCTTTTTATTAAATAATATATTTATACTTGATTATCTATTTTATACATTACTATCTATCTAAGATATGTACAAAACTATTATTTTTTAGAAATCAACTTTAAATGAGGTCATCATAATATTAAATATAAATGACAAAATCAAAAATATTGGAAATAATGGAATCGTAGTTGTTTAATATTTAATGGATTGTAGTTTTTTAATTCTCAATTTCAAAATGAAAATAACGCGACACAATTTTTAATTCTGGTTTTTACAAGGTTATTTACCCAGCTCTGCTGAAGATGATTCAGCAATCGACCACGTTAATGCCTC